CTGCAGAAATGTCACGACTCTATAAAGTGCAATCAAAGAAGTCTCGGATTTCTTCTTTCTAGAAGGGATCAGGGTGCACTTTCCTAAGCCTGACACAAAACTAATACCACTAAATATATGGCAAACTAAACTAGATATCATGACTTAAGGTTCTAGGAAAAACTGGGATGCAGTGGAAAAAAACGGTAGCCAAGGAAAATCAAATGGGCAAGAAAGTCATTTAAGTTATATAAATCACCAAGTATATAAGTCCAACGGGATTTATTTAATACTTCTACAGAAGGAGAATGACCTTCTGTACAAACAATTATGTATGAAGCATTTGATATACCTCCTACGAAGAAATTACAAGGATGATTCATCTAAAAGAAATAGACGAAATAAGCTGTAGATGGATAGACTACATGATAAAGAGCCGTGTAATATACGCAACGTTGTTGGGAGATATAAATATCAGCACTAGGGGAGAGTTTTCCCCTCTTTCTTGTGGAATTTTGTGTGTTTTTGCCATAAGATCATTTTCGCCAAAGATTCAAAATTATCTGGCTGCCTGTTGTGCTGGTTCATTAACCATTACCCAGGGTACATGGGTAGTATTTTACTATGGACACAAACTAGCTTTACACCCCTAATGGGTATAAAAACTGTTAAATGTGACAAAAATCTCATTTTTTAGGTTTCAGACTAGTATGAAAAGACAAAATTGGTACAAAAATATAGATATGAAAAATATTATATATGACGGAAAGATCAATTTAGTTTTAGACTCCAAATTTTACCATAAAGCTTCCGGCATGTCCAAAAGTTCTGTTCGGATTTGATCCAAACTGGCAACAGCGCTACCTTGTCCTACGCCTTACTGCAATATTTCCACGGACCAAAATTTGACTCTGCGAAAGATTGTACCGACTTCTTTTTCCTTTACTTTTAACTGCCGACCCGAGAAGACACACCGCTCTTAAGTTCAACTGCCGCATTTTGTGAAATCATCCGATCACGTGTTAACAATTGTAAGTGATAGTATTTCTTATATAAAGCAGAGAGCAAATAAATGATAACTGTATTATCTATTGAATAATTTAAAAGTATACTGGTTATAAATTGCGTAGGCTTTCACGGCCATCGTCTAACTTAAGTTATACTGGTTATAATTAAAATGCATTTATACTGAGTAAGAAGTACTTTACTTAAATACACACAACAAAAAGAACCACCGCTTAATAGAAATATACCAAAGTCGAAGGAATAATCCGAAGTAATTATACCTAATTATTTGTACCCGGCTAATATATTTATTCGGCCCACTTGGACGGTGTCAGAGGAGCCGTGTCCGTTTTCAGATTCCTCATAGCTTTAGTTGCTATACATCGAGTGCATTCCACGTAAGTTTCGTGTCAATGATAACTCACAGATACTTAATTTGATACTCTTCTGAGAATGTTTGTGGTTTTATTCATAAGTTGTCCATTGAATTATTCTTTTTCTTCTGTATGTAAATGAAACATGTGTCATTTTAATATGTATGGACCGATATCAAGCATCAGGCAACTCATATGAGGAATTTTCGATGTTAAGGTTAAGATGTAAATCATTACAAGCAGTATCATATAAGAACTATTTAAAGAATATTCAAATCTTTTAAGTAATCCCCGCTCTTTTAGGAGGCATGTTAGTACTACACGTGGGTCTAGTGCTTATCTTAATGTAATGTCTAATAAAGGTAGTAAAATAATAGCTTAAAGTGGTGAGGAAATAGTCAATCTATTTGCCACTTATTTTTCTGGTACATAATAATGATAGTAAGTACAATTTACCTAATTTTGAATTGGGCTATAGTGTGGATTTTCAGATTTTGAAATTTAGTATGACTGAGATATCTTCAGGAAACCATGAGTTTAAAAACTAAATATTATTCAGGGCTTGATGGTATACCTGCAGCACTTATTAAGAACTGTATTTTTCCCTTCTTTTGTAAACCTTTACCACAAATTTTTCATTTATCATTGTCATCATCAGTATATCCACCATATTGGAAAAATAATTTTCTTACACCTATCTATAAATCTGGCAATCGTGAGTGTGTAACAATTATAGAGGTATAACTATTCAATCAGCAATCCCGAAACTTCTTGATAAATTGGTCTCGATAAATCTTACCTGGAATTAGAGAAACATAATTATTGATGAACAACGTGGATTTTCTAACGCGAAGTCAACACTAATAAACCTTGTCAATTACCAACAATACTTGTTGGGTGCCTTTGAGAATAAAATTCAGGTCCATAGCATTTATACTGATTACTCAAAGGACTTTGACCGGATTAATCATAAGCATTTGGTACACAAACTTCATGCTTCTGGCTTTGGTGATCCCATTGTTAATTTGATTAAAAGTTGTTTTCTGATCGGACGTACACAGCAAGTTCGTATTAACAATTATATTTCAAAAGAATTCTATTGTTGTTCTGCTATCCGACAAGGGTCTCATTGTGGTCTCTTGTGTTTTAACTGGATCATTAACGATATTGGTAAGACTATCAAAAAATCACACTTTCTGTTATTTGCTGAAGTTATTTTGTTGTAATAATGATAAATCGGATAAAGGTCTCTTGCCACATGATGTATATAAAATATGTTTATGTTTGAAAAAAGTTGTTTAAATTTAAATTCAACTAAATGTTCTTGTATTTTATTTAGTAGTATAAATAATCTAATAGCTAATAGATATGTTCTTAATGGTGCACTGTTGGATTCCGTTACTAACATTAGAGATTTGGGTGTATAATTGGATTCTGCGTTGACATTTAGAAGGCATTTTCATGAAATTAAGGAAACAGGATTTCGTAATCTTGGTTTTATTTATCGTAACAGTCACGATCTCTCACCTATTCTATTTAAATTATTGTACTGCTCTCTGGTACACTCAGGTCTTGAATACTGCTCTGTTGGTTGGTCTCCGTTTCATCAAGTCTTCATTGATGGATTGGAGAGCGTTCAGCGGAAGTTTCCAAGATCTATAGCCCTTAAAACACATATTAATATAAGAAATACTGAAAATTATTTTATGCATTATTCTGTAACAATGTCTTGTATCAATGTCTTGTATCAATGCATTATCTCAATTTAACATTGCTACACTAAAGAACCGCAGGATAATAGCTGATATCTTATTTTTGTTTAAAATTTTAAACAACGTTAATAATTGTCCTCCATCATTAGCCAATGTCTACTTAAACACAATACATAGAACTTGATACACTGCACTGTTTTATATTCTTTTTCATAGGACTGATTATACTTGTCATTTTCCCTCGTCAAGAATGCTCAGCTCTTGCATTGACCTCCTAATGGATTCATTCTATCCAAACATTAAAGTTTTTAAAATGCAATTAAGAGTCTAATTGAGGAGCCTAGAAGCCAAGGGGTACAAGTGACTAAATATTGATAATAAGAAAAAGAAGGTTTAAGTCTCGCTTCTAAAATTATAAGTAATTATTTTATACACACGAAACACTTTTAAACTAACTTAGGAGTGTTACATAAGCTGTAGAATAAGTTTTAGATCTTGTCTTTTTGCCCTTATTTTACAATCCTTGATAAGGTGATAAGAGTGATCACTTGTACCCCTTGGCTTCCAAAAAAAGAACTAGATATTGACTGAACCCTTTGGGTTTGTTTTGTATATGAAAATTTGGATTAAGTAAAAAATACAACTGTGGTGAAAATAATGTAATTTAACACAAAATCATTAAAGAATCTTCTTCTTCCTCTAGTATGTAGGCTTTAAAGCCTGTTTCTTCTTCAATTCTTCAATTAGCCTCCTAAATTGTTTAAATTGTCGCACCATCAGAGATGTGTCAGGTCTTGTCTCTGCCGTGTATGTTAATATAGGTCTAATTGCTGCTTTATAGATTCTTGTTTTTGTGTCTAGTCTTAGGTGTTAACAGAATGAGCTACAAAATTGTTTCTTCTTCAAGTGCCGTCTTCGTTCCGAAGTTTGGCTATCATCAAAGCTATGCGTATTTTTGATGCTGCAGATCTAAACAGTTGGTAATTGGTGCAATTGTACCATTCTCTCAAGTTTTTCAACCATGAATGCCTTCTTCTTCCTATAGATCTCTTTCCCATTATCTTTCCCTATATAATCAATTGTAGCAACTGGTATTTATCTCCCCTCATAACATGTCCCAAATATTGTAGTTTGCGCTTTTTAACAGTAAGTATCAGCTCTTTCTCTTTCCGCACTCTCCGCAAAACTTCCACATTTGTTACTTTCTCTGTCCAGGGTATTCTTAATATTCTACGATACATATACAACTCAAATGCTTCTATCTTTTTGGTATCGATCTTTTTCAATGTCCATGTTTCCATCCCGTAGAGGAGAACTGACATAACGTAACATCTCAAAGGCGAATTTTAAGTTTTAGACTTAGTTATCTTCCCGCAGAACACCTTTTTCAATTTAGTAAATGTGGCTCTAGCTTTCTCTATTCTGATTCTGATTTCTTCTGAGCAATCATTATTTTCGTTGATAACAGTTCCCAGGTAATTATATCTTCTTACACGTTCGATTCTTTGATCATGCACGGTTATGTCAGGGAAGTTTTGTGGTGATTTAGATATTAGCATTATTTTTGTTTTGCTTATGTTAAGTGATAATCCGTGTTCTTCACTGCATTCTACTATTTTGTTAATTAGTATTTGAAGATCTTCCCAAGTTTCTGCGATTAGTACCGTGTCATCGGCATATCTCAAGTTGTTTATTCGGATGCCATTTATCTTAATACCTATATTTTGATCCGAAAGTGCTGTGTTTATAATGTCTTCGGAGTATAGATTGAATAAGGTCGGTGAGAGTATACAACCCTGTCTTACGCCTTTCTTGATCTCGATTTCCTCCGTTGTCTCTTGCTCTATTTTGTCTATACAAAATTGTTTAAATCAGTTTAATACTACCATTCCTGAAGTAGAACTAATTAGTTTCTGACTCGCTCTCAAAAATGTTTCCTGGCTCTTCGGCATCTGGAGGAACAATAACATTCTTGTTAACTTATACAGAAACATTGTTAGGCCCAGTAGCGTATTGTAAGGTATTGCGTATTGAAGAAGTCGTGGTAGATAGGGGGAACGTATGGCAAAAGAGACTGTAAGTTGTCAAATTTAAGTTTCTTGATTTTTGGCTTGTCTCCTGGTGCTGCTAATAGTGGGAGTTCGTTGAAAGGGTAAAAGGTAGAATAGTTGGCGCTTTCTGTGGAAAACAGTGTGTATGGATATGCTTTCTCAAGATGCGTACGCTGCATTTTACTGATACCTAGTAAATTTTTCCTAAAGTGAAGTTCTAGTGAATCTAAAGACACAAAATCATCATTCTCCATTTGCGTCACCATGAACTTTCTACTAGATTTCACTATAATGTCGTCCCACATACTTGGTACATAAACCTGCTTATAGTTTCTGTTTTTCGCTTTTTCGATAAACCCGAAATCTTGGTCACATTCCATGAATGAATGTCCCACTACAAGAAACCTGTGGTCAACAAAATCAATTTGTGTCTTTTGGACTACATAATGCCAGAACTTTGCAATACCACTTTTGTTTTGGCCACCACAGCTGTCACTGTACAGAATTATGCGCTTAACGGTTGGTGACAGAGCCTGGATGTATTTTCAAAGGCAGAAAGCAATTTCGTTGCAACCACGATTACCCAAAAATATCTGTGCCTGTCCAATGCAAACATTGTGCACACAAAAATTATAAGTCCAAAGTTGACGGCTATAGTATGCTTTTTTTCCAGGTTAAACTAGGAGTTGGAAGTGTTTTTGTAAATTAAATCATACAACTACTGTGGTTGGGTCATCTTTGAAATTTCAGCTATTTGATCTATCAAGTTGGGTCATCTTTGAAAAATCTTTTGCATTTTTTGCAGCTTGTGCCTTGCACAAGTATAATTCTTTTTCAATTTTTGCTGTTACAACTGTTTTTAGATCAACACCATTATTAATATAATATTCTGTAGCGTGTCACATTTTATCACACGTATCGGCGTGAGGTATCTTGAGTGAAAGGTTAAAATGAGTACGGAATAATATACCTATAGTAATTCCCCTTCGCAGGGTTTTCATTTCT